CAGCCACACGGAGAAGTCATCGATTGAGGAGATGTGTGTCTACCACACACGTCCACTCCTCATGCACTCATTACAGAAGCAAGCACAAACACACGTACCCACACAAACAAAACAGGACAGAGCATAATCACACTACCAACCACATAAACATTGACATGTGTGCACAAACGGTTTCTCTCCAGTCTGATCCACTACTACTACAACTCTTGTTTCTTTCTTTCTCAGATGGACACATACCACAGTATATATGCTATGCATGCTGCACTGAGTCATACAGCCCCTATAATGCTGACTCAGGCCGATCACCCCTGGTTACCCCCCCACCTCCATCACCCCCTCTCCCCCACTTTTCATCCCACTTAAGCGTTGCCTTTCTTTCTGTTAACCTCTCTCTCCCACTCTACTGCCAATCCCTACATTACGCTGCTGATTGTGATAGCACCGTGAGCGTGGTCATCCTTTCAAATACAGAGTGTCTGCATTCATCTGTTCACAGAAACCGACGTTCGTAGTTACATTTACACAAGTGAGAGAACACAGACTTCCACAAACAAACAAACACAGGAGAGATCCACAACAACAGCCACATTAAGAAATGCATGAACAGAAATGTAAAATATTAACCTATTAAAAATGAACACAAGGCCACACTCACCCTCTGCAAGCATCAGGATACAAAGCAGCAAGTGAGTTTGTCTCCAATCTGTATGCTGCTGAGTGCGTCAGGCTCAGTCCCTGCCTTTTGCTTCTGTCTACTTTTGCCTGGCGGGCCTCCGAGCTGCGAGCATGTGTATTTGTGTGTGTGTCTATCATTCCACTCCCCTATCACGTCATGCCGCTCTGCTGCTGCCGCAGTACGCCTGCAGCCGTATGCCCGCCCCTCTCTTTATTTTTTTTTCTCTTCCCTCATCACAATCCCTATCTCTCTCTCTATTTCTCTCTGTAATAGACCTGTTGGCTGTGCTCCCTCCCTCCCTGAGGTGAAATATAAGCCCAGCAAAGGCAGAGACAGGCTGGTCCATTAGCTGGATGAGTGTGGTTTGTGTGTGTGTGTGTGCTGGGTATACTTACATATGGCTGTCTTTATAGTGTGAGTAATACACGGTAACTAAGCAAATGTAGCCACAAATTTGAAAAGTCCTAACCCATCATCCGGCTTTCAAAGTCTAATTGGTGGTCAGGGAAAGCAGGAGGCGAAAAGACCCAAAAAAAAGCAACTGACGACAAATGGAAATGTTCATAAACACACACAATCACACACACACGCATCCGATGTCTATATCTGTGTGCGCATGCCTGCATGAACAAGCATTCTGAAGGAAGGACTGCCCATCCATCACTCCTATAATTTGTCCCACACCTCTAATGAAAGACGGAGAGACCAAGTGAGAAAGATACAAAAGATGGGAGAGGCTGGAAACAGGAGGGAGCAATGGAGAGATCAACATGTGCAGAGTAAACCCTGTATTGACGTCTTTTCCCGGCTGAGTAACGATATGCATCCGAGATCTGACCTTGAACTCGGCTTCTCCGGTCTGTCCATCCATGCTCATAAACCTCAGACTGTAAATCACACACTCAGAAGCACATGCAGCCAGTCCACACTCAACATCTGATCCAGTATACAAACAGAAGAAAATGTTGTTTTAAACGTAGCCGCAGTGACAGCGCTGCCGGGACCTTCAGTGTTGCTGTGTGCAACGCCAGGGTGTCTCACACATGGAGGTGTGATTTCATCATTCATAGGCACCACTTGAAATGTTGTCTAATTTGCTATTCTGACTGCTAGATAACAGACTTCCCTGTATTTAATCACAATGTGTTTGTTTTGAGTTTCATAGAAGAGAACCTGGTGACTCCGATTTGTTGTTGCCTTTTTTGCTTTTCAATCTCTGTTCACTCCGCAGCTACTTCCTGTCTTTCTCTGCGCCTCAGTCTGGTACTCTCTCTCTTTATTTCTGTCTATTCTCTCTTCTCATATTTCTGCTGCGCTGGCTTACAGTTTGACACACGGACATAAGGGACAGTGCTGAATATTTAATAAAGATTGTGACGCAAAACAGGATCAGACCTATAAAATATGTCTGTAATGCTCTCTTTTTTCTCCTGTGTACATTTGGCAGCTTAAATGATTGTTAAAGGGTTATTTTTGTAACGTCCATTTGTTTTCCTCTTATGGTGTGCGTTCAATCAATCATTAGACTGAACCATCCGTAAAGCTCTCTACAGCCTTGATCTTGCAGTAAAAGTACAGCTTGAGAACTCTCTGGCTGATCACATATTGATTATGCATTGACTGGCTGTGCAAACACTTGATCTGAAAGTAGCCACTGAAGAGATGCATAAATAATGGAAAATGTGTCCACTCAAATTGCTGTATGCAAATAAATACATCAAGTGATCAACGTGATGAATTGATAAAAGCTATTAGAACACAGCCTAACTAGCACAGCACCTCCCCCACATATTCAGAACGCCTGCACAGTGTACACATAACATATAACCCCCCCCCCACCCCCCATCCAGTACAGCATGCCCTTCATGCTGTATACCACAATAACTTAATTGCTCACCTCCAAATACTAATGTCAAGGCCAGTCTTCTGTTTATCCAGCTCCCAAAGAGGGCATTCAAATGTGTAAAACTCATCCACAGCAAACATTCTAAAGTTGGCCACAAGCACATAACACTCACTTGATCTGTCGCTTTGTCTCAGTGGCTCATGAAACGGGAAGTGACTTGTAACAGATGGATTATGGGTAGGAGCGTGCAAGCATCTGTGAAGTGTGTGTGTGTGTGTGTGTGTGTGTGTGTGTGCGTGCGTGCGTGTTATAGGGTGGGGGGTTAATGTCATAGCTAATATTCTGATGTTCCCCAAGGCGTGTCCTCCCCCCTGAGATGGACCCGACAGACGCTGTTGTGACAATGGGACACTTGTGTCACTGTCACCCCGAGGGGGCATCTGGAGGGGGGGGTTACTCTAACATGTTGGCTGTCTGAAAAATGGGGCCTCAGATGTGTAGTTTTTTAAATTTAGGAAGAAACAACCCCCACACACACAAAATACGGAAGAAGTACTGGTCACTGATCAAGAACAAAACAGGTTAATGTAGCTAAAAGGAAGTTGAGATCCCTGTGAACGTTTGTATCTGATTACCACACAGCTCAATCGAAAGCGTGATCGCATCCTGAGTTTGTCCCTATGTATGACTGTTCCTCGTGTGACTTCACTAGATGGTGTCAGAGTGCCTCATCTTACACTAGGGCATCCCAGTTTGAAAAGTCTGGAGCCTATGCCTATCCTAAGATTAAACTGGCTAAGAGACACCCTTAACCGGTGAGCCATTCAAAATGACACAAATACTTTCATACCAATGGGCCACTGAATCTCCAGTTCACCTGACTTGCATGTCTCTGGATCACAGGACAAGACTGCGAAACACAAACAAGGGAAGAACAGGGAGATTGCTGCCAAGGGACACAAATATACAACTACATCTAGCAATGACAGAGATTATTATTGTTTAATAGTAGGGCACAAAATACCAGCAATCACAAGACATATCACACACATTGCCTATAACAGCCTCACAGAGCTGCTAGCATTGCTGGAGAGCCTTATGTTTCTTTAATCCACTGTGAGACACCAATGTGTCCCTGAGCAAGACACTTAACCCCTCGTTGCTCCAGAGGTGCACGACCTCTGACATGTATAGCAATTGTAAGTTGCTTTGGATAAATGTAAAGTAATTACAATAGTATATCATTAGGTGTTGTGGATTTTGGTGAAACACTGAATATGGCACATTTACTGTGGCTGATATTTGTGCAAACCGAACATGTCTTCACCACAGAAAGCCATCTGGTTGTTAATTTTGATTCAGCATAGTCTTTATTCGGATATTCAGTGTAACCAGTTGTAAACAGTGTCTTCAATGCATCAATGGGTGTTATGAATAACGCAGGGTGATAAATAAATTGTGATATGATTAAATAATGGAAGCAATATTGCAAATTCTGATTCATGTTGTGAAATTGATATCAACCATTTGACCTAGTTCTAGTTGTGACCTGTTAGTAGTATACAAACACAATCTGTTGACTGTCACCTTTTAAATGTGCCCTTTAAAAAGCTTAGCTGCCTAAGACTAGACTCTTTCTGCTTTTATAAAATAAAATACAATACCTGCACTGACAAGTTAAACCAGATCAGACTACTGGGAGTTGAAATTCCCATCCTCAGTCAATAACAGCACTGTCAGCAAACACAGGAACAGAGAGGAGACTGTGACAGATCTTTACAGGTAAGCACAGCTGCAACCTCCTTCTGACCATTAATTGTTCTACCTTTTTCCATGTTATTCTCCAGGCTCCAGGTAAAAATGTATTTTCTAAGATGAGCTTTACTTTATCTAATAATTGAGCGAGGTAATAAAAATTACTGCATAACACGAAATTAAATGAAGACCACTATGCATTACTGAATATGTCTAGCAACAGACCTAAAAAAAACCTGACACTATTTCTGTTATGAGTTTTATTTTTTCCCCAGTTTCTGGGTTTTGCCATTGTTTCATGTGTCCTTCTGTTTGCCTCTGTTTCTCTCGTTTAGCTCATGTTTAGTGCCATTCCTGGTCTGTGTACTCCTGTATTATTTTGTCCATGTTTGTGCTTTGTTCTGTTTAATCTTAGTTTGTGGTCTGTTTTCCTTGTTAGTTGTAGTTCATCGGTATATTTGTGATTTGTCTGCTTATGTTCGATCAGTTATTTATATTCCGTTTCTTCCTGGTTATTAGTTTCCCTATGGCTTTATTGGTGTCTCTCTGTTTTCCCTGCTGTCTCCCTGTGTTAGCCTCATGTCTTTCACCTGTGTTGCTCCCACCCTAGTCATTATCCCTGGTATATACAGGTGCTGGTCATTTAATTAGAATATCATCAAAAAGTTGATTTATTTCAGTAATTCCATTCAAAAAGTGAAACTTGGATATTAGCTGCAAAGCTGCAATGCAACATACCTCTAAAACAGCAGCCTGGCAATTTGACGTTTCCAGTAAAGACTTCTTTAAACACAGGATCGTTATTTAACTCAGATTGTTGAAATGTAGTTCCATTACAATCGGGTCAGTACCTACAGAAATTAAAGAAACTTCAACAAGTACCGCAGGCGGTAAATGTTTCTGTAATCTAACATTTTCATTTTGTACACTGTACATTTCAAATAGTTCACATTTTATTTTCTTGTTTTGCTCTTTTTGGTGCCATCTTGGAATGGAGAAGAGTGTCAGATCCAAAACAAGCTGGCTGGCTATTTGCACAAGACGTTCTCCACCGCAGCAGAGAGTGTGGACATCAGACAAGACAAGGAGTTGCAAGACCGAACTTTAGTTAAATTCTACAAGAGACACAACGTTCGGTGGGCGTCACCACTTCAAAGCAAACTTCAAGGTAGTCACTGGTAAATGAAATACCGTAGTACTACTTTAACTGGTTATAAAACACCACAGTGTGCAGTTTAAGTGATTTACGTAAAGAATGTGTGTTAATTCACAGGGGATGTTGCAACAGTGGGGTCGACCGTCACATGATGTGATGTGAAGTGGATTCCATATAAACTTAGGTTGGAGCAAAAACAACAACATGCGCACAAATCAACAATGTTGAATGAGACTAGTTTCAGAAAACATAAGATTATGACACATGTTGATCCTTGAAAATTCACCAGTTAGTCAACTGTTGATATTGTTATTATTGTCTTTGACAAAGACAGTTGATATTGGTGCAAATTGGCACAGCTGAAATTAACATGCTATTAAAGGCATTATTATTTTATTTTCAGTGATCAAATTGTAATTATTAATAAATATAAAATATGTTGCAACTTGTGTTACATTCTTTCCCCTTATTTGGCATGTTTTCCAGAGATATATTTAATATTAAATATATTGTAAAATATTAAAATATTTAGTTTTTTTGGGAATCAAAAGGTTTTCATCTTATGGATATATAATCTAATAAACAAGGAAACCATTTTCCATTTTTGATACTTCAAACTTAAAAAAAAAAATCTTGATGATTTAATCAAATTATTGAAAGAACAATGTAAGTTGAGTCTAGTTCTGGTATTAAAATCTACATTCACCATTCTTTATAGCTTCTACTGACTATTCTCTGCTCAAAGGTAATTTTTCTTTATTCCTTTTTACTTATTAACCATGTATTAACCTTAATCTTCTCTTAATCCTCACTAACCATTCACTGTTGCAGGATGTGTGGCCATCACCAAAATCTTCAAGGGTGAGCCTGATCACCTCACCCCTCAGTTTCAGATGAACTGCTTGACAACAATGTTCACCGTCGCACGCCATTCCTTTATTGCATCGTGGCCGAGTTTCCTAGGGCTTAGCCCAGCCATTATTCACATTCTCTTCGGAGGTTTGTTGGAGAATACTTCCTGACCTTGACATCCGTGACACTGAACATGGTGAGCATTGAGTTGAACAAAAGTCAACACACTAAGAAAATAATTGAGGCCTATATTTTCAACTAAAAATGCTCCATCTTTCACTTAATGTACAGGACTCTGTAAAAAACTGCAACCAATGTAATGTATTCTGTGCATGCTGCATGAATAAAACAAGTTTTCCATTATGTTTTACTCCAGCTGGATGGAGATGCGGAATTAAAATAATTTGACTCAATCCATCAGCTCTGCCTGTCGTGGAACCTGCCAGATCCAAATGCCACCAACAGGAAATGGCTGTCTGAAAAGCTTCTCTTGCATGCTGTAATGTCAAAGTGTTTTATATACTCTACTTGAGCTGCTGAACAGACTGAATCCCCTGTTAATAACATACAGTACAATGTTCTAAAAGAATATTGCAAAGAGCATTTCCCACATCCTTCTTTTGTTATATTTTTATTTATAGACATATAACATAACAATCTTGATAATGGCTCAGAAAAAGCCACTTTGTTGGCTGCCAGCCATTTCAACAATCTACAGCATAGGCCATGCTCTCACCCAGATACAGAGTTGACTTGTCAGGAGGAAAAAAAAGGACATCAAAGTTTGTTCCCTTGTCAACTCAAGAAACATTTGAGAGAAAATCAATAAGAATTAGAAGTCTCTCTAGACAGGTATCAGCAAAATAAACCAACAATAAATCATTATTATTCAACTCTAAGTTTATTGAAAAGTCCATAAATAAAGTTTAATTATAGATTCATTCTCTTTGCACTGTAAATTGCACTAATACAAATACTAAGGAGATCACATGTAAATGTGATTTCAGATGATCTTGGATTGCATCACATGGCCATCATCTATAACTGTCATCCTCGAGAGCTACAAAGTCGAACACCAAGACGTGTCTGATGTCATAGATGTATTTTGAGTATCTGGCTACTTGAAAACATTTATTGAAAATGGTATGTATGAGTATTGTAGAGTACAACATATATTGATATTTGTAAGATACTGTAGCATGAGGCCTTTTTGTTTGTTGCAGATTCTGTGTTGTATGATCAGCTGCTTTTGTTTTAAACACAGTGCCTCCTGCTCAGCTAAAGAGCCTCATTATGTTCTGGACAGGATGGGAGGTGTCAGCCACAGGGATGAAGGTGGAAATAGCAGATACCACACTTCTGACAGCTTCACCATGTTTTGAAAAGCTGAGGCTGCCGAGGCATTACACAGCATACAAAACATTTCATCAAGACTTGTGCATGCATATCAACCAGTTACAGCGGTTTTGGCTCTGCTTGACAGAAATAATGTTCACTTTAAATGAATTTACATTGAATGTGCCAATGTATAATATGTACAATAAACCCACTTTTGACTACTTGTCTTTTTAGTTATTTTTGTTTCTGTAACACGTTTTATATTTCTTATTGCAAGTCTTGATTTTCACTACTCACTGTTGAATTTGCAATGGCTTTCGTGTTGGTGTAGTTTGCAGTCCCAAGGCCTGTAGCTAATAATTACAGTGACAACTAAAGTGATTATGACTACATAACTTCATTAAGTGGTTTTCATTAAAGATGCCCTTATCTATGATGCAAAACACACAGACTGTACCATCCTGTCAGTTCTGGGTTGTTGTTTTTGTATTTCAAATTAGTTTGTTAATCATTTCCTGTCTCTGTTTTCCTCATTATTTGTACTTGAGTATGTTTTTGTCTTATCAGTTATTCATACGTTCTGTGCTTCCTGTTTTATTGTTATTTTTTTTGTGTTTGTCTGTGTCTAAAATTTGCTTACTGCCTGTGTTTCACCCTGCCCTCTCTGTTCTGCGTTTTCTCATTGTCGCTTCCTAACACATTTGTAAGAACAAATTAAAAAATGGCTGAATTAGTCTTTAATTGATTAGTAGATTGGCAACAATTTTGATAATCCAATCATCAGTTAAAGGGGTACACGAGATATTGTCTTTTTACCCACAATTCAGACAGTTCATTTTAGATTTGGCTGCGTTATGCTGGTAGCGGCTAATGTAATACAGATACTGTGGTGGTACTTGTCACAGTAGTTTTAAAGCATAAAACTTTTACTCTTACTTGAATAGAAATTTTAGAGAAAAATCAGTACTTTTTCTCTGCTACATTTGGAGACATCCATTGCACTACTTCGCTACTTATTTATTTACTGCAGTCAAGCATCCACATAACTCTGTTAGAGCAGAATAATGGCTGAAGCTACAGCAAACTATGACTTTCAAATGGCATAGCTGCGAGTGTTCAGGCTACAGCCCCGTCTCATCTCAGGGCGTCCGATACCGACGCTTTGTCAGGCTTTCTCAAAGCGTCAGTATCTGATGCCCTGGGATGAGACCGTGTTGGTTCAGCGGGTTTCGGTTGTGAAGTCAGTAGGCTACACCCTGCTGACACTGAGCTGACAGACAGCAGTATCTGTTGTGTTAATGTGACTATGTTTAATAATAAATAGCTACACACAGTATATCATGCTTAAAAACTTCTCCTGCTTTCGGCCTACTAACTACTTTTATTTGATGTGGATGTGACTGATGTAATGTTTCAATCACAGATGATCTTCTTCAGGTAAAAGTGAAGAAGTGAACACACCTGTATTTAATAGGCAATATATTATGAAACATCACAGAATTATCTCCCAATTTGATTTATTTCCCAAATCATAATTTAATAGCGGGGACAACAAGAAAATAATTGATATTTTTATTTTAATTTTTTATTTATTTTATCTTTACCTATTGGAGTACTAACAGACTACAATATTAACGCAATATTTTGTAATCACATTTGATGGATACACACAGGGAATATTGCCTTGCTGTATATGTGGCAGGTTATCTAATCAGGAGATGCTGACTTTCATCACAAATAAATACAAATGTATGTTCACTTTTTTACCTTTTGATCTCTAGTCACATCCCCATCAAATAAAAGACTTGGTGAAAAAGAGCCTTTGTTTTGTTTTTTGTTCTTAAGTTACTCACTACTCAAGTAATTTTTTAAGTAAATACTTTCGTACTCTTACTCAAGTAGTTATTTTGATTACTTTTACTTCTACTTTTGCTTCTACTTGAGTACTTGTTTTTGCAAAATAACAGTACTTTTACTCGAGTAGCCTACAGTTTTTAGCTACCCACCTCTGATTATAGATGACAGTTTCCATTTGGGGTTTGGACTGTTTTTTGGGAAAAAAATAAAAAATTTAATGATGTCACTTTGCACATACAAGTCAGTATAAAAAGTCACTGTTTGTATGTAGCCCGTCTAGCTTTTGTACTGGTGTTCAGTGCCCACAATGACCACATGATGGTGGCAGAGGTCAATCATTGTAGAGCCGAATGCTTATTACCCGCTCTGCTTTGTCTGTCGGCATTAGCATGCGGCTCCTCACTCCATTTCTACTAATGCTTTCTCATCCATTGAGCATATCTGAGTGAACTTTACCAGCAAGTCCCTAAAGGTCGTGGTGCAACAGCTGAAATTACTTTGAGATGGCGTCCTATCAGTGTTAGAGAAAAACCAGCTGATTTACCATTTGACTCTTTGAAATTAATTGTGTTAAAGGTTAACCTCTAGACAGAAAAAAAGATAGGGTGACAAATTTACTGGCTCATAAGATAAAACACTGAATGGAAGAAACAGTCAAACTTCATGAAGAGGAACATCATAAGAAATTTCAGATAGTTCTCGAAAGCAGTCAGCTGAAAGGTTATCATATACACTCACCTTTGCCTACTCACACTCCTAATAAAAAAATCTATTAATCTTATGCCTTTGTAAAAAGAACAAAACATGTTCTCATGTTTGGATACGACACAGCAATTTCCGGACCAGCATGATGATTCAAGACAAAGACACACAACTTCAATGATACAAAACTACCTCTACAATGTGGAGTTCAACCAGTTTATTAGGGCTGACTGCTATTTGATTGTCCTGTAAATCTCTCCCTATAGTCCGTGATTTCATGTTAAATCTTAAACAAAAGGTGAGGGAGGGGAGAAAATTTCTGTTGTGCATAACAATACACTGCTTTTCAATCCAAGTTCCCTCCCTATTCACCTCTCTCTCTCTCTCTCTCTCTCTCTCTCTCGCCAGTAAGTCAGAAACTCCCCTATTCCTCAACACGCAGTGACTTTGCAGACTTAAGCAGCAACAACAGAAGCTCCTCCCTTTCAGCACATCTGGAACAGTGGAAGAGTGGAGCGGCACATATCCAACAACTCTGTGAGAGTCTTTTTGTATCAGGATAACGTCATACACTTGGGCTAGTAAGATATTCTACCTTTCTCTTGCATACCACAAGTGCAACTCCTCCACCTAACTTTGGACTGCTGGTTTCCTGAACACACCCCGGGTGCTGCATTAACACTACTCAAACTTCAACCTGTCCATCATAACTGACTGACAGCACCTACTGACTGCAGGTAAGCAATGTTAATATAGCAGTAGAGTGCTTAAGCTTCCTGCTGGCTTCTTTCTATTTCTAATTTCCCTCTCTTCCTGTTGATGCATGACAGGAAAAAAACACCTCAGTGTATTTTACCAGTCAGGCCTGAGGAAACTCCTTTGTTTGAACAGCTATCATGGATTAGAGTTTGCAAAGAAGTGTTCAGTTAAACAGTAACGCAATGTGGAACAGTAATGCACACGAAAACCTACAACAAAATGTAGAAGTTGATCTAGAATAGTAGGCTAACTCCTACTGCTGTTAATGTCACATGCAACCACATCTACCTCATGAACGGACTTCCTGATTTCTAAGTTTACACTCTTTACCTCTCATTCACTGTGTTTAATCTGAGCATTCCTGTGCAACTGTCTGTTTCCCCACATGTCTAAACTTGCAGAGCTACCATTTCTAACACAGTCCAGAATATATCTTCAAAAATACTGCGCTTTGACAGTAACTCTGGATTTACTGGTGACACCCAGAGAGGAATCATAAACCTTGTCTTTCTATAGAAAAAAGTTATGGCTCTAATAACCTTTAGTCAAGTGGGAATTACTCACCTCTCAATGCACTCCCCTCTGTGGTTATAGTGACAGTTGTCAACCCTGTCAGTCTCATCACTATCTGCATCCCATCATTTTCAATCTACGAGACGACTTGTCATAACAAGTCAGAGCAGCAGTCATCTACACAAATCAAAAAAAAATATATTGGCTAATTTGACTAAAATGTTTCATCATATTCCTCACCTGTTTTTTTTTTCTCACCTTCTGCTCCATATGCTTTGTCCTGGAGCTGGGAGCTGGAGTCATTGTGACATCATGACATTCAGCTCATGTACAAGCTTCTACCTTCTTTTTTGGCTCCTTGTTGATTGTCTTGCCTCCAAAATTGCTGTAAAATGACATGAAAGGGTTCAAATGTTATTTGAGTCTTTACATAAAATAATCCTGAAAATGCCAGTTGGTGTCTGTGTCACTGTTAATATGAATTCTTTCCAGCAGAATCTTTAAAAAAATCAAGGTAGTTCACTTTCCTCTAGCTTTCACATCCTATACTTCTTCTGCTTCAGCACTGTTTCCCAGAACCTTACTCAGTTTGTTACTTATCAACATTGTTTCGATTCAGTTTTTGTCACTTATGATCCTGAAAGCAGTTAATATCTGTTGGAGTGCTAAAAAGCCAGAGACTCAATGACCAAGTAACAACAACCAACTTTTTAAAATGTCTTTACATGAATTAGCTTGCCTGGGTATTAGAAATTTTATATGGTACGTGATAGAAAACATGCAAAAGGTGACACATGAGAAAAGAAAAGTTATGCTTTTATTGTACTGTATAAACGATTTATATGGCGTTAACATATGTAAACTGAATGTACATCGCCGGGGAAGATATTCACCATCCATTCCAACACAGAAAACTTTCTGATAAAACTGAAGAACTTTTCTTTGCAGTTAATTATTCCCATATCTCCAGATTTCCCCGTCTAGCCTTGAATAACCCCGAGAAACAGACTGAAACAGCCTGTGCTTACAATGACAGAAAGCCACATTGCAGCAGATGCCAGACACAAACTGCGCCACCCATTTGCTTCACTCTGAGCTATGATTTAACACCATACATTTTGCTCATATTCACATTAAGTGCCATTCTGGTGTCAGCAATAAAGTGTTTAATTTTGGGGTGTTGTATTAAAGGAAGAGAGAAGGATTATTTGGTACGGCCAGACTTCTCTGGGTGAGTCACAGGATAATATACTATTACTTTTTAAAAAAAAGAAAGTGCGTCCAAGGGTGATAGGAAATGGCCTAACACGTTCATATTCGGCTATGAGAGCTCAGCTCCATCCTCTGAACACAATATAGAGTTGTATCTGCTTCATATATTTGCTGCCTAATAG